TATATATATAATTTAAAAGTAAGTATTACAAATTTTTTTAAAAAAAATCTTATTATATATATTTAATAATTTATGATTAAATGAATATAGAAAATCTGTAATTCTACTAAAAAAATTTAATGATATTGTAGATTGATTCAATAAGCCCTACGATTCAGTTAATTTACATTGCTAGAGGAAGTGGCAAAATTGAAATTGTGGACTCCAATGAAAAACATGTATTAGACACTAAAGTCGAGGTTGGTCATTTGCTAGTCGTACCACAATATTTTATCCTAAAAATTATTAACTCTTTAATTATTTTAAAAAAAATATGTTATATTTTGAATTTCTGATAAAGATTATTGTAAATATTGAAACATATTAATGACCATATATAAAGCAAATTATATTTCAGTTTATGGAGGTTCAATTGAATCTTTAAACCAAATTAAATTATGCTCATGGCTTGGAGATACTTTTATAGTTATATATAAAATTAGAAATGTACTTTCTAACATTATTTTTAATGGTGTAAAAAAAAAGCTCTTTTTTAATTTATTTTCTATTATTATTTAAAGTTTAGTAAAAATGACACGTGTCATAAAGTTCTATCAAATTAAAACAAAGTTCCAGCAAATTAAAATAATATAATATTATAAAGAGAAATTTTATGGTACTCACATTGTTTGAGAAAATACCAGTACAGTTGTAATTATAATTTTATTTTATATTTTATATTTTTAATAATTTATTTAAATAATATTTTTGATATTTTATTTTTTTAATTTTTAAATTATTTAGTCATTTTATTTTTATTTTATATATTCTAATTTATTTATAATAATATTATTATATTCTGTGTCAATTTCTATATTTTAATTTGAATTATTTTTTAAGTATATTTTTGTCTTTTTGTCTTAAATTTTTGAATTTTTATATTATAATTTAAATAATTTTTTATTTCTACTATTTATTAATTATTTTCTTTTTTAATATTTTATAATATTATTGAAATTTTATAATTTTAATCTCTATAATTTTATCTTATTTTTTATTTTATAAATATAATTTAGATTATTTATTTTATAATTAAATTAATTTTTTAAATTTTTTTATGAAAATAATGTATTGAAACTCCTCGATCTTTGAGATTACCCTAACAACTCCCCGTTATAAAGCGCATTGTTGTCACTCCTCAGTCAATAAAAAGGTACGATGATTGAAAACTTAAAACAAATGCATTATCAAATACACATACATATACATGCTTTTAGATAAATCTTCACACTCGACCATATCATGAAGATTTGGTAATATATATTTATTTAAGTAGCTTATTCAATCTAGTAAATATCTTTGAAATTACATGCATCATGTAAAATCAACTAATTAGTTGGGGGAATGAGATTTGTGGTTTCCTTGATCTTAGAAATAAAAAGGTGTTGAAATTCTGAATCCACATTAAGAACCACTTGTTGAATTGTAGGTGATAAGGCTCCCCAAACCGATGCTTTGCCAGCCAACTCTTCAAGTAAAGGTCTGCAAAACAAAGAGAAACATACAAATTATTTTAAAATTTAACTATAATGCCCTAATAACATATTTTGTATAGTAAATTTATATGCAAATAATTATTTATGATATCTATCATTTTGTACCTATCTCCTTCTTCTTTCATTCTCAACCACTCAAAATGGTTGAACAAATATGATTACTCCTTTAAATAATATAATTCACCATTCTTATTGTTAATCATGCATACCATATTCTACTATTTAAAATCTCGTATGAATTTATGTTAATTTCAATTAAAGAAAACCCAAATAACTTACTCAGTAGTTGTCAAGATGGAGTAACTGTCCATCCCTTCTTCCCCTGCAATTTCAGCGACCACAAAGAATTGTGGCACCACTAGCAAATAACCAGCCTTAACATGAGTGTCCAATACACGCTTTCCATTGAAGTCCACAATTTCAATCTTGCCACTTCCTCTAGTAATGTAAATCAATTGAACAGTAGGATTGACAGGGTACGAGGGTGCTTTAATAGCATTAGGTTCAAGTTTCACTCGAATCACACTTAATCCAACATCTCCAATAAAAGGAAAATCTTTTTGGGTTAAGGTTGTAACTAATCCGCCATCTTTGACCCCATTGTTTGAGAATGCATCATCTATGTTATAGACTAACTTTTTGGTCATGTCCATTTTGGGCTTAGGCATGAGTTGCCCCTTTTCTAGCTTGATAATCGAAACCCCACTTTGACTTTTAGTGAGCTTCTTCACCTCATCATTGTTCAAGCCATACACTTTTTTTGTGAGCTCAGTGGAAAAACCTCCTATAAGTCCTTGAGTCCCAGCTAGAATAAAATAGGTGAATTGGCCAGGAATAAGAGCCTTTGAAGTTTCCCCAAGAAAAACAACTATAAGATCTGAGTCTCCATTGTTGAACCACCATGAAGTAGTTCCAAGAGGTACTGGTATAATATCTCCTTGCTTAAGCTTGAAAACTACCTCTTTTTCAAAATTGGGGAGTATCATTCCAACTACACCATCAGTCCCTATATATTTGTGCCGCCACACAATTGATGAAATTTGAAAGAAAAAAAAATCATTAATTACTATAATTTACATATTAAAATACTAATATTGAGGATATGGGTCTAACCTTGAATGACATAACCTACTTTGGAAGAATCTGCATAATGAGGGAGGGAAAAACCATAGGAGTGAAGCACAAGATGACCTGCACTCACATTAGTCTTGGCAAGAATCGGCATTTGAGAAGTTGACCAAGTGTAGTAACCTCCACCATCTCCCTCAAAAATTGCTTCTGCTGTTTTCGGTGTCAAGTCCAACTCCATGATTTCTTTTTTCCTTTCCACTTGAAAGCAGTTAAGTATTTTAGATAAACCAATACGTGTTAAGTAAGATAATACATGCTAAGTTAATTAATAAACCGAAAAAATCATACATAATACATTTATTAAGTACTGTGTTGTGTCACTCAAATTTCTATGCCTAAAAACTACGTCAAATGAGAAATTACATATATTAACTTCTGGTTTTTCACGTCTTGAATCCACGTTTTATGGTTCTGACGCAAAATCACACACAAACCTATTAAACATGAGAAGAAATCAAACCAAAGGAGTTATACATGATGGTAACGAGCCAACACATTACTTAAAAATAGAAATTTCATTTCTAGTGTGGCTAGGTTGACAAATCTTAAAGGCTTGTATATTTTATAGAACTTATTTTAACTTGATCACGATTTTTAACTTTCGATATCATGCATGCGTATGTATCATAAAATTAGAAATTTCATATATGTAGTATATATATTCCAAAAGCTATAAGAAGCGGAAATGTGGCACTCAAAAAAGCATTGTATATGTAACTATATCTTGCAACAAATCAAAGATCAGAAAAACCATATTCATATATGTAATGTACCTGTGATAACTAATAATCGAAAGAAAAAGACTAAGAAAAAACAACTAGAGACCTCAGAACAAAGAGGAGGTAGAGATAAAAGACCAAGGTCCCTATAAATAGATATGGTTGTCGACAATTGAATTTGGATACTTTCTTCTGATGAGAAGAGAAGATGGATATGACTTTTCTTCGTACAGTATATATATATATATATATATATTATTCGTTTATTGTAAGAGTAAATATATTTAAAATTATTTTATTTAATAATTTTATATATTAAATTTTAACAATTTATTTATTAAATTTAAAGTTTTTAATGTATAGATAAAATTTTTAAAATTTAAAAATTATTTAATATTTTATTTCATTAATCCAAATTGATAAATAATCATAAAATTATTTATACATTAATTTTAGTTAATGAAATGAAATATTAAATAATTTCTAATTTTTTTTTTAAATTTACAGATTTAATTTATGTATTAAAAACTTTAAATTCAACGATTTAATCATTAAAATTTGATATAAAATATGATATTATTAAATGAAATAAAATTATGTAAAATTACGCTTAAACAAATTTCTTCTAATTAATATATATATATATATATATAATAATTCAAGTAAATTCTTAGATTAAAATAAACTAAAAGATCTTATTATATATCTTTGTCATCGTAATTTAATTTAGTAAACTAATTTAAATATTAAATAAAAATTATTAAATCTAATTTTCATTTAAATTTTTATGAATCTAACGAAATAAGTCATGTATTTTTTTTTGTAAAAGACAATATTAAAAGTACACCAACAAACCACTCAAATCTAAAAAATGTTGATAATAACTAGCTAGGGCTCAGTATCGGACGGTTCCATAAGTCCATCTTAGCCAAACTTCCACCTACTTTTATTGGCTATATTATTTTTTAAAATTTAAGTTCAACCTGTTCAATATATTAATTTTAATATTATTTATAATTAAATTATAAATTAAAAATAGTACAAAATTTAAATTAAATTATATTCTAAAATAAATAATCTCATCATAAATATAATATTATGTTATAAAAAATACTATTAAGTAAGTAATTTTTTATTTTTAATATACAATAATTTAATATATTTTCAAAAAGTATAATATATACGTGAAATTGAATTTCAAAATTGAAGTCTCTCCAAATCAATTTCCGACCACACCGAATTAACAAACATAGTTGGTCCCGAGACCTAATGGAATAATGACTAATGATACATTTTACAGGCTTGCATGCAATTTACTTACACAGCACGTTATAGTTATAACTTTAGCCTTTCTTCTCATCATCACTTATTTGTCTTTTTCTTCATCAATTATTATTGAAAAAACTCAAGTCCCACATCGACTAGAGATTAAGCAATTGAATAATATATAGTGGAAAGTAACTTTCACCTTACAAGTCAGTTTTGTAGGGTTGAGTTAAGCTTAATCCACTATTCTAACATGGTATCAGAGCCATTTAGATCCACTTTAAAAATGGGTCACCCACCATTGATGCATGCCTCATAGCATAAGCATGAGGGGGTGTATTGGGAAAAACCCAAGTCCCACCAATCCTAGATCATTAAAAAGGGTCACCCACCATTTATCCACGTACCAAGTTCAATGGTGGTGGACGTGAGGGGGTGTATTGGAAAAAACCCAAGTCCCACATCGACGACGGTGTATTGGGAAAAACCCAAGTCCCACCAATCCTAGATCATTAAAAAGGGTCACCCACCATTTATCCACGTACCAAGTTCAATGGTGGTGGACGTGAGGGAGTGTATTGGAAAAAACTCAAGTCCCACATCGACTAGAGATTAGACAATTGATAGTATATAAGTGGAAAGCAACCCTCACCTTACAAGTCGGTTTTGTAGGGTTGAGTTAGGTTTAATCCACTATTCTAACAATTATTTTAAAGTTAATGGATATTAATGATTCCGTACATATTTTTAATCAAATTTGTCATGGCTTTCAATATAAATTTATGGTTATAAATACTACTTTATTTCTAAAATAACTCCATGTAAATGAAAGTGAGTTATACTTTTTAATTAAAAAAATATACTATTTATTTAGAAAGCCTTAAAATAATAATTGCATCGTATAGAATTTTTTTCAGTTACTTTAAAGATAAAATATTAAAATATTGTATCTTCTTTGTAATGTGAAATAACAATAGATTTTTTTAAATTTTAATTAATATTTTAAAGACAAATATTAGCATTTATTTTTAAAAAAAAATCATACATATAACTAATACAAAGAAAGTTAGAGATGAAAATAAGGGAGGTATATTGGTTTAATCCAATACACCCCTAAAATGCATAAAATTTTATATAAGTGAAAGAAATTATCACCTTTGAAAGTAAGATAATTTTTTATTTTACCTCTTTTTCTTTTGGTACTTGACTTTATTGTTAAAAGTATATTCTCTTATATGTTTTATAAAGAATACCCATTCATTTTTTAAAAAATAAAATTTTAATTTAAAAAATTCATTCTAAATTTTGACTTGTTTTTATATTCATAATTCAAATATTTTATTTAATAATGAACTCTCTCACCTCTTTAATGTTATCACATACTCAAATTAATTATATTTAAATTTATGGACAAAAGGAGGGACCTATGATCCCCACTTTTTAAAAATGTGTCAAAATTATTTTAATTTTTTTATTCTCTTAAAATTTATAAAAAATATATTATAAATTGATATATATAAAATATTATATTAATTTACAGTTATAAAAAGAAAAGAGAAAAAATATATAAAACTGATATATAATATAATATAAAAAATATAAAAAATATAAATAATAATAAATTATTTATGATATTAGAATATTTACATATAAATATTAAAAAAAATATTTTTCACCTCTTTTAACATAATGTTTTGACGCTCCACTGTTTAAATTCATTTTTATATTTGAATACACTCGATTGCAAGTAACTTAATATTTTAGTTATTTTTTTTGGGAAGGAAATGAAACATGTCAATTTTTTCTTCTTCGCAAAATTTTCTTGTTCACAATTGTGGTTCAACTAATCACGTTTAGAAGGGATTTGTCTGTATAATTATAGACCTAATCAATCATCAATTTTATTCCATCCTAACGATAAATATTATAATTAATTTTAAATTTTATTACAATTTTATCACAATTTTTAACTAATTTTTGAATTAACAATTATTATAATATTTTTATTATTCTCTAAAGTACAGTCTTTTGCAAATCCTTTAAAAAGTGTATTAAAAAAATTATGTAATATACTATTTGATACTCTTCTTACAAAATAATAATAATAATAATAATAAATTGCGCAATGTATTAAATAACATGGATAACATGATGTGTCCATACATCTTTTACCAAATTAAGGTCTTTTGCCTTAATATTCAAAAGAATTAAAAGTTTAAAAGAAAACAGTGTAGAGCGCCTTTTTTTTATGGACAAATGCTTTGATATTATTACCATTGTCTCGTTGTTATTATCATCATTGTTATCATTATTGTCACTGTCAATAATAATGATAATGATAATGATAACAGAGTAGTAATAAAAACATTAGTAACAACGACGATAATTGTGATAGTGATAATGTTAGTGACTGTGGTGGCAATGATGTGGCAGAAGTGCAATGGAAGAGAAGATAATAAAATTAACAACAACAATAAACTTAGAAGAAAAAAATACGATGATTAAGTATATGATAATTTTATGTATAATTTTTTTAATTAAAATTATTTATTTTAATCTAAGAATTATTATTAATTATTTTCATATTAACAAGTGTTCTCTCATTTTTTATCTATCTCTATATATATGTGTATGTATATATGTATGTTCGGTTGATTGAAAAGTGAGGGAAAGGAAAAAAGTTGAAGGTGAAGAAAAGGTGAAACAACTTTTGTTTTTGTTTTTGTTTTCTTCTAAAAATTAAGTTTTTTTTTTTAATTTTCTATTTAATAAATAAAGAAAACTACAACATTATTTATTTTTTTATTTTCTTTCCTCTCGTTTTTATTTCTTCTAAACATAGTGTCAGTGTAAAAATACACTCTTTTTACACACATTTTTAATTACATTTTTTCATTAGTTACATTTTAGGATGGATAATCATTAAATAAAATGTGTGTGACACATAATTATTATTATTTTTTCAGTAAAATTTAAATGATAAATACAGTGTGTTAAATAGTGTGTTCATTGTATTTCTCTCATATGAGTTTTGTTATAAATGCTTTATATATTTAAAGGGAAAATGACAAGTTTTTAATATTATAATATACTAATTTCATTCTTTATTTCCTTAATTATTTTTAGAACACTATTAAACAGTTTTATAACAAGTTATATAGATTGTTTAAAAACAACTTAAAAAAGAATAATTTCATCACTAATGTAAAAAACTAAAAATACTATTTAAAATTTTCTTTCTATATCTTTTGCGTAATAATCAATATAAAAAGTACACAATGACATTTTTATAATTTAAAAATAATTTTTTACATCGATTCCAGAATAAATGATGTAAAAGGAATTTTTATATTTATTAAATAATAAAAAAGTTACCTAAATTAAATGTGATAATTTTTTCACTCACAAATTTTATTTTTAATATTACCTTTAAAATCACTACTTCGTAAATTATTATTTCTTTTGTTGCGGATATTAGAATTTTTAAATAACTGTCTCTTTTTTTTTTTAACTAGAATTTTAGTTTGTGGTTGTGGAATACACGTTCATGTTTATTATATAATTAAAGTTTATAATAAATTATATATATATATTATATGTTTTAAATATCTAAATTATATTTAAATTTTGTATAAATAAATATTTTAAAACTAGTTCTGACCATTATAACACTGTCAAGTGTCAATTAACTCAGTTAAGTGTTTATTTGTACACTAGGTGCCACAGTTTGTGCTTCTTTAATTTCTCAGTTAAATGTCTTGTAGTTGCTCCTATAAATATTCGATTCTTAGTCTGTGCTCTGCTGCTCTCTTATTAAGTAGGTGTTCATTTTTATGCTCTCTCTCCTCTTAAAATGTCCAGTAATTAAGGATTGAATTGATGGTGCAATAATGAGAACTAGGGGCTATTTTTTTTTTTATGAGTATGAGGAGTGATTTGAAAAATATATTATAGGATTAAATTATAATATTATTATTACTGTGAATTTGAATGCTTGATATAGATGTTTTTCGCTTTTAGAGAGTTGTAGGATTTTTTCTCTGCCAGTCTTTATGAAAATTTGCTCTCCTGATTTGCCATGAAGGACTTAAGAGGAAAAGAAAATAGCTAGAGATCAGACAAGGAATGGCTTTTCATAACTAAACTACCCTTGTTGATATTTTCTCTTAAGGTATTTTGTGGCAGACTAGGTCTTTTTTTATCTACCTTTCATATGCATTTTAGGTCATGGTAAAGTAATTTTATATTATTACACTTATATGCAAACTTTCTATGAGTAGACTGTCTCATTGAAGTTTATTCCCAAGATATTTTTTTTTTGCAATCTAGGTCTATTTTTTAGATCTCATCACTGAGAAGTTATCATTCAGTTCTGTAAGAGATTTGATTGCATAATTTTGTTCACAGATCAATGATGCATTCCTCAACAACCACATTAAGTAGAACGTGTGAAGTGAGGCATCAACTTACAACTGTCAATTTCCATGGGAAGGATCATTTTACTCCAAAATTACTCCAAGAATAAGTATTATATATATATATATAATTTTATTTTATTATTATTTTTGTTAAACACTGGTAAGTTGTATCTGTATTTATGAGAACCTTGATGGCTGATGCTTACATCGACGAACTCATTCGTTCTTTATAATCATGGTTTGCCTCATCAATCTCATCTAGAAGAAAGAAATTAAAACAAAAAATAAGAGGGAGAAATGAAAATAACAATTGCCTTTTGCTATCTGCTCAATTATTAGATCATGAAAGGCCCAAAAGCATCAATCATTTAACTTGGTAAATAGTAGTGCTGTGAAAATGGATAACGGCCCATGACATAATATGGTGTATCATGGGTTGGAGTCGAATTGAGTTGAAAAAGATTTATAAATTTTAATATTATTGAAAATTTAATATGATTCACTTGAATTGAATCATAATGAATCTGGCTCATGAGCCCACTAATATATATATATATATATATATATATCAGAGAGATTTACTTATTTTAAGAGTAAGATTATCTAGATTTACTTCACTCAATAATTCATGTTTTATAGTAAATCTTTATGATCTAACCATTAAATTAAAAGTTTTTAATACATAAATTAAGTTTGTAAATTTTTAGAAAATTTAAAAATTATTTAATAATATTTTATTAATTCAAATTAATGTATAAAATATTTTTATGATTTTCTGTTAATTTGAATTAAATTGGAATATCAAATGGATCCCTTTGATTCACACACAATTAAAAAGAAGGTAAAGGGATTAAAAAGGATGAGTGACCAAGTGAGCAGGAGACAAATATAGACTATACTAGTGGACACGCAAGAAAAAGATGGTGCAATGCAACTATGCAAGTAAATAAGCACAAAAATAGGCCATTGTGTTAGCAGAAAAATTTATACAAAAAAAAATGAGAGGGTGAATTATTGAAATATATATATATATATATATATAAACTTATGGCCCACTTATATAAAGAAAAAGTGAAAATTTCACAACCCACTCAAAAAAAAAAAAAATCTATAATCTACTTATTCATTCAGCCAAATGTTATACTGTGAGGGTTATTTATTGGGTTAAAAACTTATTTTTGTGGAAGAAAAAGAAAAGAAATTAAAAAAAAAAGACAATATGGTTAGACATTAAATTTTTTTTATTTTTTTTAAATAGATTTGAGTGATCAGATATTTAAAAAATAATTTAAAAACATTTTGTTTTTAAAAATGACTAGACATTAGAAAAAAATTAGATTTTTTGTTATTTTTTTTTAAATTTAAGTGAGACAACCCATTTAACCCACTAACTCGTGGTGGATTAGACTAGACTCTTTTTTTGTTAGCTTATTAAAAGGTGAGTCAGGTTGGGTTGGCTCACTTATTAACCAACCCGTGGTGGATAGGGTTGGACAGGACGACTCATTTTGACAGCTCTAATAAATAATTATTGTCTCAATCAAAGAAATAATATATAATTATAATTATTTATTTATTGAAAAAAACTAAATCTATCTCATATCAATTAGAGATAAGTCGAATAAAAAGTTCATGAGAGATAACTTTTATTTTATAAACTAATTTTGTAGATTGAATTAATTTTAAACTCACATTTTAAAATAATATTGAAAAAGTGTATAAAAATAACTTAAGTCTCATATAAAAAACAATTTTTCCTTACAAATGGATATTATAAATTACGTTGAACGAATATTTCATTAGTAGTTTTTCTGAATAGAACTTTAAGCAGTATTATTACCAAAAATATCTCTTTTAAAGGTAAAAGTAATACAATAAACGTCAAGCCAAGAATTTAATTTTCACATGAAAAGATAAATTTAATTTTCACATACATCATCGTATAAAATTTTTACATAAACAAATACACCAGTATGTCACACACTAATATCACTCGTGTGGGACTAAGAATCAGGTACAGGTGGAATGAGATTGGTGGATTTCTTGATCTTGGACATGAACAACTTTTGAAAATCAGAATCAACGTTAAGAGCCACTTGTTCTAATGTTGGTGATAAGGCACCCCAAATTGATCTCCTTCCACCCAGCTCTTCAAATAAAGGCCTGTAAATAATATAAATATATAATTGGTCATTCTTTTTAGCACTCATATTGTATCATACTTTTGGATGACATAATCAATTATTCTTAAAACATGTTTAAATATAAATTTAAAATAATTTTTTTGCTAAAAATAAAGATAAAAAAATTCTTAAAAACACTTTTAACTTATATCTAAATAAGTTTTTAACGTTGTTAATTACATGCCATATTGGCATGCTGGTTCTTGGATTCTCAAATGAATAAATATTAATTTGTGTAAAATTCCAACAACTTACTTTGTAGTTGTGACAATAGAGTAACACTCAATTCCTTCTTCTCCTGCAATTTCAGCAAGGACAAAGTACTGTGGCACAACTAGCAAATGACCAACCTCAACTTTAGTATCTAATGCACGTTTTCCATTGGAGTCCACAATTTCAATTTTGCCACTTCCTCTAGCAATGTAAATTAATTGAACCGTAGGGCTTATTGAGTATGACGGTGCCTTAATGGCACCCGGTTCAAGTTTCACTCTTATCACACTTAGCCCAACATCTCCAATAAAAGGAAAATCTTCCTCCTTCAAGGTTTTGACTAATCCAGCATTTTCCACAACATTTTCAGGAAGTGCATCATCTATATTATACACTAGTTTTTTTGTGATGTCTATTTGGGGTTTAGGAATGTGCTGATGACTTTTGTCTAGCTTGATGATCAAAACTCCTATCTGGCTTTTAGTGAGCTTTTCCACCTCATCTTTGTCTAAGCCATATACTTTGCCTGTGAGCTCAGTAGAGAAACCTCCTATAATCCCCAGAGCCCCAGTTAGAAAGAAATAACTTATTTCACCAGGAATAAGAGCCTTTGAAGTTTCTCCAAGAAAAACAATAATAAAATCAGAATCTCCATCGTTGAACCACCAAGAGACACTTCCAATAGGTACTGGTATAACATCTCCCTTCTTTAGCTTCAAAACCACTTCTTCTCCAGTGTTAGGGAGTACCAACCCAACTACACCATCAGTCCCTGCACATGTCACATATAATTAGATTTGTTTATTTTGTATTCTACATAAAGTCATCAAATAGTAACGAGTTTGAATAAATTGAGTTATGTCAAGAATAATTTTTAATAAAATTATTATATTTTCTATAATAATTCATTATTATAGAAATATATATGAGGTCTGACCTTGAATGACATAACCTATTTTGGAAGAATCTGCATAATGAGGAAGGGCGAAGCCACGAGGGTGAAGCAGAAGGCGACCTGCACACACGTTATTCTTAGCCAGAAGTGGCACTTGAGAACTTGACCAAGTGTAATAACCTCCACCATCTCCCTCAAACATTGTTTCTGCTCTCCTCGGTGTTAAGTCCAACTCCATTGATTTAATTTTCCTTTGCTCATGAAAAGCAATCAAATAATTTATTAAATACGTGCTCCTTAGTTAGAAATGCAATTAATTGTTGCAATTTTGTATAACGTACTCTAATTCCTCCCACTGGGCATTTGATTCAATCATCCATCATATATACAATTATTTCATTAGTACAACTAGCTAGGGAAGTTAATTCTTCTACGTATATATAATGGTTCTGGTTATCATTATCATCAGGTTAAGTAATTAAGGCAAGAACATACGTGTTGTTTTGAATCTTTGAGGTATTGCAGGAGTTATATCTTAACGTATCATACATATACATAAGGTGTTATGACATTCAGTAGTTATCTTAATATATATGGAAGGATCCATGGAAAATAATAACTATACATACGTTAATAAATGGAAAAGTTAAAATCATTTCCTTTTCTTATTCTCGCGCGTTAACTATCTTTTAATCATCCCATTAATTTCCTTTCATGGGGTTGTGATCCAGCCAGCAGTTTCACTTTGGCATTCACATTTGAGAAGATCTTAAGTGAAAATCTTGCACTCAGAAGAGTGCATATATAACTATATATATCTTGCAACAAATTATGTATAAAAATATCAGATAAACCTTAAGTAGTAAGTGGTGTATGTACCTGTGATCTAAAGGAGAAAGAGATATTACCAAGACTTTCCTCAACTGGTCTTAATTTATTTTTGTTGATAACTAATCATAAGAAAGAAACAATGAAAACTCATCAGCACTAAGAGAATTTATATGCATCAAGGGATATATATATATATATATATATAAATGAGGAAGGTTCAAATGACACCGGTATAACTTTTACTAAGTATTACACATTCAATAACTTTAAATTAAATGTGAATTTTGAAAATCTAACCGTTAAATTGAAAGTTCATATCTCTTAAATCATATATATCAAATTTTATTAAAATTGAACAACAATTTGAAGGTAATCAAAGTGTTCATATTTTAATATATTTTGAAATGTATATATTACGTCAATTTTGTTTATGAGAATAAGATATCAAATCATCTTAGATTAATATAAAATTTAATATATATAATTTAATAGATATGAGCTTTTAATCTAATGGTTGGATTTTCAAAATTCATATTTAATATAAAATTATTGAGCAGTAAAAGTTATATATTGATAATTAATTTGGAAATATGTACTTTTTATATATCTTGGCGAGAAGAGAAAACGTATATGACTTTTCTTGTCAGTGAATTTAAATTTGACAACGAAACTAAACTATCGCCAACAGAATACGGAACATGCCTAGTTATTAAAGAAATGAAGCAAGAAAAAAAATTATACTAAAATAAATAATATGATACAATAAATAAAATAAATAATAATAATAAATCTATTCTAATAATAAGGGGATAATCCAATTTAGTTTTCACGTTTTTCTTATACTAATTTTTCTTTAATTAATGAAAAACAAACACTTTGCATTTTTATATATTTTATATTAAAAAAATTACAGATAGTGGGTGAGTATTAAAGTATTAAGTCTGTTGGTAAGCAATTAGCTTAAAAGTGAGAAAAAGTTACCAAAAAGAAAAATAAATAAATAAATAAAGACAATTGAATCATTTATAATATAATTTAAGAATAAAATGATCTTAATAAAATTAATAAGATGATTAACTCTATATATATATATATATATATATAACTACATGCTAATACAAAGTACAAACTATCTGTTTCAAGAAATTAACAAAGAAGATTTTTTCTTCTTTTAGCAGGTATATCTATACATATGTAATTTCTTTTTCCTGAAAATATTTAAAGTGATAAAGTGTTTGATTTGTAGTTAAATTTATAAATGAAATATGCGTAGTGATGACCATTTTTTGTTCATAAAGTCAAAATTGGATAACGTGCCACACTTTGGGATACGACGACGGCGTATGTTGCACACTAATGAAAACAATTCTAGAATGGAGTTTTAAATTCAACACGTGGGAATTCATGGGTCTCATTTAATTCAATTAAGACTGATAATTTGATAAAAAAATGAAATTAAATAATTAAAAAAAACTATTTTTTAATATTAAATTTTATCATATTTCGGATTTAATTTTAAAATTCAACTGATCCAAACCCAGAGTATAAATATATATTTTTATATTTTTATTTATAAAAATTATGATATCAGCTTTTTGTTTTAACATTTTTTTTGTATATGTAAAGTTATTATAATTTTTAAGATATTTTCTTTACGTTTTATTTTTACATAAATATAATATATCAAGTTGTGTAAAATTATTTTAATAATATGTAGTTCAAAAATTATACTGCTATTAACTATATAATAATTTATAAGCGAGATATTTGATGTTTTAATTTGTTCTATATCTTACAATATTTTTAATATTTTCTTTAAAAAATGAGATTAATTATAAACTAGTATTATATATAGTTAAAATTTATAATAAATTATATGTACAAATAAATATTATATTTTAAAAAATAAATTATATTAAAAAACTATATATATATAGATATTTTTTAACATAAGAAATATATTTTAGATTTATAATATAATTATTTTAAAAAACTAAAATTTAATTTATAAATGTACTGCCTGTACCAAATATTGAGTTCCACGTCGGTCTTAATTACGCTGCGACATCGATCACGTGCGCGGGCCTATAGTCAATGGGGCTCGCGGCCAATGTTGGTTCGACTTCAACTTCACTCTCGCCTAAAGAGAGAAAACCCTAAAACCATCAAGGTACGTCTACTATAAATACGAGACATTTATACTATCGAAAACTAACTTTAACATCAGAGTTTCTTTTGCAGGTACCACCTCCATCTCGGTACAACCAATATACCTAGGAGAAGAGGCTCATCAAGCTCATCGAAGAGATAAGAGAGATTACTCTCAAGACCATCTCATGTGAGAACAATAAATAATTATGATAAATAAAAATTAAATTAGATAAAAAGTTAACAAAATTTTTAAAAATACTTTTATCAAACAAAAATTCTTAAAAATACTCTTGTATAAAATAATATTTTATATTCAATTTATAAGAATTAATTACTCTTAACATCGACTTTTAAATTACATAAGACTTTTTGCATGCAGAATAAATATTAAAATTAAGACAAAGAGATAAGAGTATTATAAACTCTCAAAATACAAATATTCTAATCTTTAATTTATTAGCATTATTGTAAATTCTGTATTTAATGTATTGTCGGCTTTTACGCAATGGTGATCATGATTTTTATGTGCGAAAGATTTTGAGTGTTTTTATCCTAAACATTTTGGGTTATTTGGGTGTTTTGTGTGTATGTATTTGGTTGTAGTTTTTTGGACAGGTAAAATAACTTTTTTGCATCTGCCCATAATATAGAGATTCAAGTATTATTCCAACATGGGAATACGTTAACCGAAAGAAAAGTAACCATTTAAATGATGCTGGATAAGCTGTAGTATTTTTCTATTGCATTAAAATATCGATATTGTTTTGCTTCTTTTTTCCCCAGCATGGGTTTGGACCTTTCGGAAGGAAAAATCAGAAACAATTTGGATGCTGGAGTCATTGAGCCCGCAATGAGCAAAGTCAAAATTATTCAGGTACCATTAATTTCTTTATTTAATATATATATTTTTTTATTTTTTCTATTTATGTTTATATATTTTAAAGGGTGGCGCTATGGCCTATAGCGACACAGTGTCGTTATAAGCCATAGCGCCACTTACTCTGAAGTTTTTTTTTTTTTAAATTATTAAATAAATTGTTTTCTATTTTATATATATTTATTCTTTTTAAATTATTAACTTAATTAATTTTACCCACATTTTCTTTATTTATTTACTTATATTTTTTTAAGCAGTTTTTTATATTAAATATATGGCGCTGTAGGCTATAGCGACTTTATTGAAGCTGTTTTGTGGCGCTATAGGCTGTAGCGACACTATCAATATGGCTTTCATGGCTTTCGTGGAGTTTAAAAAATGTCACGTGGCATGGGTGTTGCTATGGCCCATAGGAACACCGTTGTAAACAACCCCAAAGGTGTATATTGTTTACAAACAGTCCTATTTACGTAAATAAGTTTACAAATTGCCCCACTTTGGTCAAAAAGCCTTATTTAAAAATTGAACTGCACTTATTGAGTCAGACTCACTAATAATGTTATCACATAGGCCTCTACCTCTGAGGATCTTTAAACCATAGAATATGTCCCAAAGTTCAGCATGAAGGATGGAGCAAACCCCAATCCGACAGGAGAATCCTAACATGAAATTACCCTGGTTATCACGCAGGACCCCACCACAGGAGGCAACCCGAGATGTATTGACTGCCCCATCACAGTTAAGCTTTAAGTAACCTTGGAGAGGCACCTTCCACCCAATATATAGGATTGATTGAGGAGGAGGGATGTGTGTTGAATTTATCCTTGTAAAGTCGTGATACGTGTAGGTGTTAGTATTTTCTTCCAACCTGTGTGTATAGGAATGGTAATTCATCTGATATGCTTAATTGCTTACACACAAAAATTTCATAACCAGTTGACGTGAAGCTACTGACATGGTTTTGCAAGATCATGTGTCATATTTTGGGTTATTTGGGTGTTTTGTGTGTATGTATTTGGTTGTAGTTTTTTGGACAGGTAAAATAACTTTTTTGCATCTGCCCATAATATAGAGATTCAAGTATTATTCCAACATGGGAATACGTTAACCGAAAGAAAAGTAACCATTTAAATGATGCTGGATAAGCTGTAGTATTTTTCTATTGCATTAAAATATCGATATTGTTTTGCTTCTTTTTTCCCCAGCATGGGTTTGGACCTTTCGGAAGGAAAAATCAGAAACAATTTGGATGCTGGAGTCATTGAGCCCGCAATGAGCAAAGTCAAAATTATTCAGGTACGTATTTAGTTAAATATCATCAGTTGTTAACTTCGTGAAACAGCTTTCTATACAGCTGTCTGAGCATTTTTTTTTACCAGTTTGCAACTGAAGCTGCTATCCTTTTAAAATCCTATGAAATCCTAAACCAATACATCCCCCTAAGTGATGAAAAGAAATATTATATTTCGAAACAATGATATACTATATTTTTTTATTATCAAATCGTCGTAGTTGACAAATTATTAAAGTTTTAGAAGATTTGGCGGCTAATCAAATCCTCGCTCTTTACTTTGATGAATTTTTTAAGAGATTTGATGATTTATCATAAGATATTTTAACATTATAAATGTCACTGTGATTTGATCCTCTATTAAAAATGTGAAAAAACGGTACATATTCAGAGCAATGATTTACAGGTATAAAATTAAATATAAGCAATTTGATTCTATTATAAAACATAACGGACCCACATTGGATTGAGTTCTAACTTCTACGGGCCCAATATTCTAATTTAACTTGCACTAGGGCCCACCCCTCTTTAGTGATCGGATTCGGGGGTACCCCACGGCCCATGCCACCTAAATCAAAAAATAAAAAACATATTTTTAGGAGCGGAATTTATGACGCTAATTACGGAATATGCAGATGCTCCTAAGAACATCTAGTCCTTATACTACATCACTGTCAA